TGTTATAAACCATCTTAAACCATGTTATAAACCATGTTATAAACCATGTTATAAACCATCTTAAACCATGTTATAAACCATCTTAAACCATGTTATAAACCATCTGCCTTACTTACATTTGCATTTATACGTAGGCAAGTGAATTCAAAAACGACCAATCAAATATTAGGGAAATACAAGACCTTGTAATAAATCTTTAAACTAGTTGTGGTAAGTAATCAGGAAACTAGCTTGACTGGCACAGCGGTTAAAGTAAAACAGCGGTTGGCTAAACCAGCTGTATCAACACACCCAGGCTTAAAAACTGAATAAACAGTACAGTTTAACAGTGAGAGTCTGAGGTTAAAATAGGCTACTTTACATACCGAGACGTTTCACGGAACAACGAGCTCAGTCTTTACTCATTGCCACGGCCAGAGAGCACAGCTCAATAATAAAAACAATGTCGATGCTAATTTAGCTTCGAGCTAACGTCCTCCAGGAAGTGTTTCAGTGATTGGCGGAAGTTCTTCTTCTTCGCTGCAGAAAGGTGCGTTTACCGCTCAACTCAGTACTTCCCTCTAGCGGCCAAGATTGGGAAATAACATTTTTCATTTTGGCTGTGTGCTGGTGAAGAAGCGAAACGTCTTCTGCTACAAATAAAGTCCAGTTGTTCTTGTATTGAACATTTTTTTAATTTTGGCTGTGACATTTGCATCTTTTTTAATTTAGAGAAAAATTAATTTTATTGCCCACCTTAACGCATAATCACAGACTTTTTGGACATTTTGTGAAGAGGTGTTCAAATGTTATGCTGATTATTGCTGAAATGCTCTTGGCATTGACAAAGTAGCTTTAAATTATGACTAAATGTACAAATACATGTGTACAGTGCTTCTTTAGAACAGGTAGGTATAGTTGACTTGCGGCCTTTGCATCTGCTGCTCCAGCCGACTGAAATCTGCTTTAAAAACTTTGGGTCTGATCTCACTTGTCTCAGTTTCTAGTTTTAAAAGTCGGGTTTAAAGATACTTGCAAATGTTTTCATGCTTAGTAATGTTGTTCAACTAACTTTTTTAAACTGAGTAAACTTTTGACTGAGCAACTTTTATTTGTAGTTGAGTAAAATTTGACCATGAGTATCAATACTTTTACTAAAGTACTAGAGTTGAGTACTTTGTCCACCGCTGCTCAGGACAAGAGGACCATCTTCTTCGAACGGCTGGGTTTGGTAGGAATAGATACACAACGGCAGGTCAAGAATCACACGTTAAGATAGAAATAGTATCAAATGAAAACTATTCAATTTTAACAATTCATTTAAAGAAATGAGGTCAATTTGTCCTCTAGTAGTCTATAGCAGCATAACAACCCAAACTATAGGATTTATCAAAAAGGAAAGTCTTAATCCCAGTCTTAAAACTGGACAATGTGTCAGTCTCATGGACAGAAACTGGAAGTTGGTTCCACAAGAGAGGAGCCTGAGAACTGGAAGATCTTCCTCCCATTCTGCTGCTGGAAACTCTAGGAACCACAAGTAAACCTGCAGTCTGAGAGTGAAGTGCTCTGTTAGGAAAATATGGAACAATAAGATCTGTAATATAAGATGGAGCTAGGTTGTTGAGAGCTTTGTAGGTTAGAAGTAAGATTTTGAATTCAGTTCTGGACTTGACATGGAGCCAATCCTTATTTCGCTTCTTTTTACACTTTATATTTTTGTTATTGTTGGATGTAACTGGGACTGAGTACACAATTTCGTTCCACCTCATGAACCACATGTGATACGAATGACAGTAAAACCTACATGAACTTGAATCCTCCCAGAAGAGCTGGAAGAGGTGGCTGTGGAAAGAGATGTCTGGACCTGATCCAGCTGCTGCCCCGCGACCCGACTTCAGAACAAGTGGAAGATAATGGATGGACGTATAAATCAACAAAATCAACACTATGACACATTAAGATAAACCTGCACACTTTAAGAATCTTCCTGGTGAATATAGGTTTGGGCTATTCATGTTGGTGATCATGCTTTTAGGTTGTTTTTGTGGTAACTTTTTAATTTTACATGGCAAGATATTTTATTGAACAGAAACATCCCATCTTTTCTGCATCTTACCATAACGCTCAATATTAAAACCTCAATCAGGCTCACTGTGCACTTATACAGCACATACACTTAAGCTTTTGATTAAAAGATAAATGAAATCAATTAATGCCAAACTTTACTCTTACTACTGAATAAATCTGTACTCAGCAGCTCAGAAACTAATGATGCATGCTTTACATCAATTAAAGCACAAATGTTTCCAGGGTGAATAATCTTTTTGGACAAAAGTACTGCATACTTGGCACAAAAAAGTCATTTGACTCGTCAACAAAGTCCATGTTCAATAATCCAGGTATATAATCCAACATTTTTCAGTCAGGTCATCTGGACAGTTTCTTTTTTTGTGCTGAAACGTTTCGCCTTCAATCCAGAAGGCTTCATCAGTCAAGGAAACACACAACACAACTGATTCATTTGACTCGTGTTTTTTCTCTGTCATAGTTTGTAGTTTATTCCATCACAGGCAGGGCAGTGGGGGAGAGGGACTAAATACATTCTCAGTGTGGGCCAGGAAAGGGATGCAAACCAGGTAAACAAGGACAAGACATTATTGAATTATTTCTTTCATTATAGACCAATTTGTAAATCTGCCAAAACATTAATCAAATAACTTATTCTTCCCTATATGTAAGTACTGCTATTTTTTAAGTTAAGTCATGGTCTTATTTTAATATAGTTCTCTACATGACCCTATTGGAATTTTTATATATATATATTTAAAAGATATCTGCATAAATAATCACACATAAAAGACAGTGCTGTACACATCATGGTAAAAAAAAAATTATTATTTTTTGCAACGTTCAGTTCGTGACCAGCTGCAAGCAAAGCTACAGCATGTGGAGCTGCTGGTGGAGCATCCGTGCATCGATGAAGACTGGCAGCATCATTTATGTAATGTCAGACTGCAAACTGGCAGGAAATGTTTGCTGCGACTAAATCTTATCAGGCAGTGCAGAAAACCATGGTGACCCTAGGCGTGATGATGGCACTGCACCAAAAGGTCACCGTGAACAAGCTGCAACTGTGCAGCTGCTCTGCACTTTGGCTAAATTTGTGGAGAAAGAAAGTACAGCATAACCATGCTATGACATGTCAAATACCACTCAGACAGAAAAAAAGCTCAAGTAGATAACTCCTTGTGGTTGGGAACGTCCAAAAAAAAAGTTTCCCCACACTGTTCTAAAAACCGATAAAAAAAAAAATTAAAAAAACACCGACATCAAACCAAGTCATTGCCAAAGAAAGCAGGATAACATTACCATCAAATAGAACATTAAGTGATTAAAAACATTTACTGCATTAAATAATGCAAAATGTGAGCAACCTGTTACACCCAGAGTGATACGGAAGATCGAGTTCCACATACAGCGTTTAAAATCGGTCATTCAGGCCCATTCACACATTCAGTCCAACTTTAAATGTGTCTGAGATGAGACAGATTAAAGGGAAGCAAATACCTCCATGTCCAAACTGACGGAGCACCTTCAGAGTAAAAGCAATCCTGGGACACTTGAATAAAAAACGGGCTCTCTCTCACAACCGGGGCATCTAATTTATCTCTTAGAAACTTGAGTTTAAAACATATTTACTACGGTTTGATGAAAATACTTCTTCTGTATCAGCCATGCTACTTTGAAATGCATAAAGCATGCAGACTCTGACCTGGGCACATTGCTAAGAGCTCTTCAAAGATAAATGTACAGTATTTGAGACTATCAGCAAGATTCTTTGTTGAAACGTGCAGAAACTGTGTTTTTGAAATGAAAGCCATGGCAGCGCTTAACGTCAGGGAGACACTTCTGTGGTGTTGCCATGTAACAGTCTGCATGGGAACTGGCTGAAGAACTAAAGAAGGAAACAATTAACTGAGCCTGTGTTCAAATAAAGCATTATCCATATATAGATACAAAATTACATCTCATAAATACATTTGGCAAGACAATCTGTTACTTTTTTTTGGCAAAAGGGGGTAAACTGAGCAATACGATGTGTGCAAGAGTAACAAAACGTAAATATGTGGCTTGGTGGCAAATCATCTTCAAGAATAAATTAAAATAAAAAAGGAAAAGTTTTCATGCATTATAAAGTGTAACCAAAAGACTCCAAAACATCCATATCTGTAGAACTTTTTCACAATCACTAAATGTATAAGACACGTGTATTTTCACTAACATGACACACGCTTTTTCTCAAAGTCAGTTCTTTATAGACCTGAGGAACATTTCTTACAGTCTTACGTTAATGAACAAATATGTCCATCTTCACATTCCTGGTAAAAAAAAAAAAAGAAATAAAAGCTGTAGCAAGTTTCCAGAGCTGCTGAAGGTGCAGGAAGTTTGTACGGTACATTAGTCCAGATGATGTGCCTATGCTAATGTTTTCTACAGTGTTAGTTTCTGATTTCTGAATCTTCTCCTTCAATGTTGATAAGTCAGAGGTGTTATGTAGACGTGTCTCTTATGTGGGTGAGACAACATCGACTTAAACTGGCATTGTGAAGCTACAGTTGTTTATATACACCCAAAAAGCAGCACAGCCCCCTGGCATGCAGAGAGAGGTATCTTTTTCATCATTGCAATAGTGTAAAAATGTCAGTGTTCAAAGGGGACACCTGAAGAATGAAAATAAGTTGTGTTGGTCCATCGAGTTCTGTTCACTGGACTTCTGATAACTGAGTGCATTCCACTGCATGCACATACTGTGATATGTTTTAAATTTGGATTACTGCACCTCTCTACTTAAAGCACAAAGACACTGGGCCCTCCGGAGCACACTACACCATCGAAGATAGCGTGTTCTCTTCAGGACAGTGGCAAGTGGTTCGTAGAGAGTGTATGGTTGGCGGGGCGCCATCGCCTGGGGAAAGATCATTGAGCTCCTCAGATGATGAAAGGGGAAAGGAGGGTGACAAGGATATGCCTGAAGAGGGGTCAGCAGACCCTGCAAAAGTGCGTGGAGGCTTGGGTACAAGGTTAGGCTCCATCGTTGCTCTGGCCAGAAGTTGCGTGTCATCCAACTGCTGTCCGTCTCCAAGACACTCTCCCTGCCCAAAAGAGCCCCGACCTGACTCCGACTCTCCATCAGACAGGTCCAGAGGTGGTGAACTGCTGCCGTCCAGTCTGAACAGAGAGTCTAAATACTGGGCAAACTCTAGCACAGCCTGGCTGGGGTTCCCATTGGACAGCGGGGGTGGAAGAGTCGAAGCTGCCAGTGGGGTTTCTGCAACTAACCTTGTTTCCTGGTCCTCTTTTTCCCCATCTAGTAGTTTAAAACCCATTTGTGGGCTCAGCGGAGCATTAGGAGTGCTCCCTGGGCTGTAGAGACCAGGCATGTGTTCCCCATCAAGAAGCATTGTTCGGGTGGCATTGGACTGTGGTTTGAACGGCTGTGACGAGACACTCCGAGTCAGAAGGGCTGGGGAATGGTGTCCACTATAGCGAGGTGTGGCAGGAGACAGCCTCATAGAGTACTCTGGGGTGGATCTGGAATCGAATGGGGTTAAGAAGGGTCCAACCTCACCCATGTGCTCTGGTGTTGTCGGGCAGAGGCAGTCTGCAGCTAGTAATTCAGTGCGAGAGCTGAGAGATGGATTTTCCTCTGGTATTGGGGCATCCAATGGGAATGGTAGACTACCCAGCATTGGTGAACCCCTTAAAGCAGCTGAGGAGCGTCGTGAATCCAGGCTGTAGAGTGACTCTGCGTCTGAGAGGCTCTCCATGACGGCCAGCGGTGCCTTTCGGTCTCTCAGCTCCACTGCCAGACGTTCCCGTGCTCCACGCAATACTGTAGGCACTGGGGGAGGAGGGCACTCAGCGAAACCATCCAGAGATATTTCAGACTGGGCACAAGAACTAGAGGAGAGGAAAAGAGTGGGTTGGAGAACAATGATAGGAAAAGGATGGGATCCAAAAATACAGGACAGACAGGAAAAGTGAGTCAAAACAGTTTATGGAGTTAAAGAAGGAAAATAAAACGGTTACGTTAGCATCGAAACTACATCCAGGTTCTACAAACTATGTGATCATTGCAATACTTCATACAGATAGAGGAAAGAACAGGAAAAGGGGGACTGGGAGGTCACGGGTGCCAGTCATTCTGTTAACTTGTGCTTCCACGTGTCCTCCGAAGTCACGTGATAAGAAACTGATTGTCTTGCTATCGAAGAGGATCTCCTGATCAAATTATTAAGAGACAATAAGGCTTCTGGAGGAATTTGGATGGAGGAAAACTCTGTATGTGAAGCACGTTAGCATAACAAAAAGCACCGGAGAAGTGTAACCCAGTACAGCAAGTACTGAAATTTAAAACAGAAGTGGGAACATCATAACCCAGCCATTACTACCAAGGACTTGACACTGACTTTGGACAAGAGCTAGACCAGAGAGGGTGAGGTGAGAATCGAATACTACCATACGTTACAACAGCTCTGTGGTTAGACAGCGTGCAGGCGTGCATGAGGAAAGGAATCATAGTATGCAAAATTAGTACTGGCATGCTTTGCTTACCGCAACAAGGGTTTTTGTCTTTTTTATTGTTTCAAAACAATTAGAACAGACAAGACGATGATTTTGAGAAAACAATAGAGTAACAGTTAGTAGCAGTAGTTTGTCTTTTCGTACTTTACTGTTACATTAAAGCTACAGTTTAGGATGAGATTTCAGTCATGACTAAGTAAGAGTGGAAACTGACTGCACAGATTATCACACTTTTTAAAATATTCTTCAAGGCTCAAACACACCCACAGCAGTGCCTGGCTTACTAACCGAACACTGCTGTTCCTGCGGTGGTGGGTTGTAGGTGTCAGCTGCTGAGAGGCTGTCGACGTATCCACGAACATGCTCTCTGGGTTCAAGTCTACTTCTGTCGGACTCACCATAATCTTGGCTGCTGACAACAAAGCCGTTTTTCCTTTATTGTAGTTCTCCAGCACCTGTCGAAAGCACAAAGGTACACACGGGCACATGACTTGGAGAGAACAGTCTGACGGGAGCCTGAGGGCACCATGAAGGACGTGCACTGGTGTTAAACATAAAATCAGCTGAGCAGCTGCATACGAATGGAAACATGAGCTCAGTTTCAACTAAACTAGTTTATCCAACAAAAACCAGTCTGGACTCTTGACCGGAACCACCAAAAGTTTAATTTTAGTTGCCACCTGACCGTTTCAGTACCGTCTTATTGTATGCAGGACATTTTGTTTGCATTTGTTAAAAAGTGTTAAAGTTAGTGTAAATCATTTTAATGTAAGTGCAATAAAACATGAGTTTGCACCTACTCTGGCTTTAAACACCCACAGCAGAGTCATGATGCCTGAGCAAGAACCGTGCACGTCCTACATCACCCTGTTGGTGGATTACAAACCACTCTACTGAGCAGAACCTTCAAGAAAACCTTGCTCTCAAAATATGAACTGCACACACTACAAATATTTCATGAACTTTAATGAATTAAAAACGCTTATTAACAACAACAAAAAACAGTTTATGAACACAAATACACATGAAAAACTTGTGACAGTGGATCGATAAATAATAGAACCGAAAAGTAGAAAACAGATACAAAAAGACATTTAAACAAATAACAGATAACAGTTTATTAAATTAAAATGCTACAAAAGAAAGCTTGGCATGTTTTGGTTATGCATTTAGTTAAAGATCATAAATAAAACGTTAATGAGCTGAACGTAACAATGACTACTGCAAGGGACAAAAACCTGCTACAGGCAACATTAAATAAAACTTTTGTAACTGACGGCACAATAAGTGACAAGTGATGGTAGAAAATATAGATTATTGCACTTTCTGATTAATTTTGCACTAAGCAGAAATGTAGTGCACTCTCTATAGATTTAGGTGGTTCAAACAGAGATCCAGCTTTCAGATTACAGTGATGACATCACTCTGCTATATCAAGATGGAAATAAAATAATTGTAAAGCAGTTATAACGCAGTAAGCGCAGCAGACCAGAGCACTCCAAATTCACGCACTCGTTACTTCTTCAGCTCTTTAGAATTGGCAATTCCTTTGAAGAATTAAAAATGAGAAAAAGATGAACTTGTGCCTTTGAAAAGCAGAAAGAGAACCATCATCCAGGAAGCACTGCAGCTCAGAAAAGAAAAATCCCAGTCAAGCAGGAAGAAAGAGCAGTTACTGTGGGAGATATCCAGTTACCATGGAAACATTTCAAATGCAAATTAAAAATGTGTTAAGTTGAGGAACAGAGTTAAGAAATTTGTGTCAAAGTATTTGACTTGTTGCAGTGTGGCACAGAAAGAAGAGCAGTTGATTAAAACGAGCAACCTCAGAAATAAAAGGGACTGGGTGCGAGTCTGAACCCATGCAGGTTTGTTTCAAGCTTCTTCAGACCCAAAGGTTGAGAGATCACACGTTACCGTAGCCTCAACGACACCTTAAATGCTGTAAACTAAAAGATGTAAATCAGGTAAGATAAATGAATAGTCGCATCACTGAGTGGTTGTGTGACTATATTTCATTTTCATCTCTCCGCTTCCTCCTTTTCCTGAGACCTTTAATTGTTTCCAGCGATGACGTTGGAACTTGATGCTTTTACCCGATGGCTTGTATGGAAAATGCAATTATGCCAACTGAAGGGACTTTTAGCCATTTTTCTAAAATTGATATACCACATGAGCTGCCCTGCACTATGATCTTTGATGTTTTTTTAGTGGAAGAAATTAAAAAGTCTCTCCAGCTCTTTTTTAAAACCTTTTAAAGCCGTTGGTAAAAGCTAACGTCAAAGATGACGCAACATTTCAGTACTCGAGCTTCAGGAGCAGGACGTTAGTCACGCTGTGTGCAACTGAAACTGATACATGTTGAGTGAACTGAGCCTAATGAAGGTCCAGATTAATACCGAGCATGATCAAGTTTACACAACAGAGTCAGACCCACTGTTTAGCACTTGTAAAGTCTCAACATAATTTTCTACAGAACCGTGTGTTTCCAACTTAACAGGAACATTTTCTACCTGAGTGGAACGAGACTCAGACTGCACTTGGTTGGCGTGAAAGACGCACGGTTCTGATTTGGATCGTAGCGGAACGCGTGAATCGTTTTCGTCTGGAAGCGTGTCTGTCTGAGGGAGCGAGGAGATGTTCGAAAGAGGCGGGGCCAACACCGAGCACGGCTGAGAGGCAGAGGTGCAGTCTGACAGAGGAGGCAAGGAGACAGACTGCACATCTGGAAAAGAAGCAGCAACGCCACGCAGAGGGACTGAGACAGCCTCAGTTTCTGTGTGGGAGGAGGTGCAAGACAAGTGTTTGTGTGTGTCAGAGGAGGAATCAGATGGAGAAGGGCCGGGGTTTAGCTCTTTCTGGGAGGTTTTAAACACAGTGGTGCGGCTGGTCGGCTGACTGAGTCCCAGCTCTTCTGCTTCCAAAGTTTCCTGCTCAAATCCATCCCATACCTGTCGAAACATCAGAGGCATCACACACCTCAGGGTGCATTCACAGAACTGCAGACAAACACACAACATTAACTCTGCACCCACACGAAGTGCAAAGCCCAAAGTGGAAGCCGACACACACACACGACCAAAGCCGGTTATCAAAACAGACGCTCAGCGTCCTGGAGGAACCAGAGAAAACCGTGAGTGAACGTTTCTCTGCTTTGACACAGAAGAAACGTAGAGAAGAGACATGCAGCAAGGATGAATTAAGAATGAGTCCCATGCACAAATTATTTATTCAGACAAACTGAATCTATTAAATCATCTCAATTAAAAAAACTGAAAAACATCACTTGGTCAAAGTCTTTTGAATGTTGTTGTTTTTCCAATACAAACATGTAAATCACTTGCAATATACTGTAACTATAAATCATTGTGTTTTCTTTAATAATGCATGTTTGATTCAAATAGTAGGTTTTGCTTTATGGATAATTTTGATCTAAAACACATTTTAAAAAGTTCCTTTTTTACATTACACTAGTCAAAACGGATCGATTTGTATTACATCAGATTGTTGTTCATTATGAAGAACATTATGCTTCATGCTGTATTTTTTTGTTTGTTTGTGTTTTTGCATATTCAAAAAATAATGAACTAAACTAACAGATCAAACGTACAGCAGTCCCTCGGTTATCGCAGCATGTCATGATTTCAGTTCCCCGCCATCGCCAGCGCTCTTGGCCACGCCCACTTCTGCGCTGCAGAGCGGAGATGTGACTCGCTACAGCGGGAGCTTCTCCTTCAGTGTTGACTGCACACAATTACAGGAAGAAGGTTTTCTGCAGCTGTGGGCTGCACCAGCTGCTAAATAATTGTAAATAATTTATTTTAAATAATTTATTTTAAATGAAACCGCCAGGATCGTGCGGCTCATCCATCAGCCAGCTGTGCGTCATGTCCAATCTTACTTTGAAAAGTCGCGACACAGCGAGTCGGCAAAAAACGAGCCGCGAAGCAGCGAGGGACTGCTGGACAATAAAACTGTGTTGTGATCTCAACTTTATGATTGTGCACAACTAATGAAAATGTTGCCATTTTCAGCCTGAATGTAGCTTCTTTAAATGTATATTTTATATAAAAACTAAAAATAATATCAACAATAAGAGGATAGTATTTAGTTTAAAAAAATGTACTGATCACAATGTGCCACTTGAAAATGCAGTTTTCCTCAGTAATAAAACCACTGATGAAAATGTGCATATTAAATTTTTACAACTAATATATAAATATAAACTAATATAACTCATCATTCAGTTTATTCACCCAGTATCAGAAATAAAGAACAAGACTGAGAAGTTAATACCATGTTAATTTAAAATCCCCCTTAAGCAAAGATGAAGCAAAGAAAACACAGCCACGGGACCGACCTTGTTCAGGCCCTTCATCACCATGTGCGGCATGTGCTCGTTCAGCATCGCGGGTGATATGATGACCTCGTTGAAGGCCTTGTTGTCTCCCCACAGAGCCGAGTAGGTTGGCTCTTCCTGACCACAGCTAAAAAAGATGGAGACACTTGAGGTTAAACACGTCGACTGACGCTGAACAGAACAAGCGGGAGAAGCTTCATCCAAGGTCTTATTCCAACGAGCCGAAGCGTTTTAGAAACTCAAACAGACGATTCACAAAACATCCCACCAAAATGACTGACCTCAGTGTGACACATGGCAGATTTCTCTGTAGAACAGGAGTTACACGCGACATTCAGATACAACAAAACTCCAGGTGACTGCACAACAAAACTCCAGGTGACTGCACAACAAAACTCCAGGTGACTG